GTCTTTATGTTTTGCTATGTTTGATTGTTTGATAAGATTAATCTTTTTTTTTTTTAATTTTTTAAACTTTATATTTTCAAATGATTATGGACTCACAGGAAGTTGTAAAAATAGTGCACAGATCCAGATTGGATCTTGAACCAGAAAAGAAGAAATGGATGGGACAGCTGGAAATTTTGAATGAGGTCTGTGAAGTGGGCGGTCGTGTTTCACCAACGTCACTTCCTGATTTGGAGGGTGTATCGCGGTTTTGTAGGAGAGTGTCCTTTGCCTGGGGAAGTACACACTAAAGTTTTTAGGGGTACGGGGTATCAGGTCTGCAACTTGTTTTCAAATAGTTTAGAAAAGAATAATGATACTGGGTAGATGTATATAGAGAGAAAAAACATACTGGAGCAAATGAGGTAAAATGTTCACTGGGGAATGTGGGTAAAGGGATCATGGGATTCTTTGTACTCGTCCTGCAACATTCCTGTGAGCTCAAAAGTACTTCAAAATAAATTATAAATGGGCCGGCCTGGTGGCGCACTGGATGAGTGCGCCGCTTGGGAAGCACGGCGGCGCTCCCGCCCGAGGGTTCNGTTGCGATCCCGTTGCCGGTCCCCGGTCCGGTACGGGGCAACACTGAGGGTTGCAATCCGTGGCCGGACACGGAAAAAGACAAAAAAAAAAAAAAAAGACAAAATAAATTATAAAAATTGTTTATAAAACCAAAAAATGAATAAAATTAAAATAGTACACAGAGATCCTATGTACCCTTCATGCGGCTCCTCTCACTGATAACGTCTTACTATACACTACACAACTACACTTTACTATGTTGCAGTGCACGATACACCTATCCTGTACAGCTGCACAACTACACTGTACCATACGTTCTGCATGACACACCTATCCTGTACAACTGTACCACTACACTGTACTACACATTCTTCACGATACACCTATCCTGCACAACTGTACAACTACACTGTACCATACATTCCGCACAACACACCTATCCTGTACAACCGCACAACTAGACTGTTCTATACATTCTGCACGACACACCTATCCTGTACAACCGCACAACTAGACTGTTCTATACATTCTGCACGACACACCTATCCTGTGCAACTGCACTACACTGTACCATACATTCTGCATGACACACCTATCCTGTACAACTGCACAACTACACTGTACCATACATTCTGCATGACACACCTATCCTGTACAACTGCACAACTAGACTGTACTATACATTCTGCATGACACACCTATCCTGTACAACTGTACAACTACACTGTACCATACATTCCGCACAACACACCTATCCTGTACAACTGCACAACTAGACTGTTCTATACATTCTGCACGACACACCTATCCTGTGCAACTGCACAACTACACTGTACCATACATTCTGCATGACACACCTATCCTGTACAACTGCACAACTACACTGTACCATACATTCTGCATGACACACCTATCCTGTACAACTGCACAACTAGACTGTACTATCAATTCTGCATGACACAACTACTCTGTACAACTGTACAACTTTGCTATTCTGTACTACACACTATCCTTTACAACTACACTACTACACTGTACCATACTGCACTATACAACTATATTACAGTTTTTACAGTATCATAACCAGGAAACTGACATGCGTACAGTCCACAGATCTTGCTTTTTAAAATAAGATTTACATATTACTTAAAAAAGAAAAAAAAATCACTGCTTGTTCTTATTTTTCTGATATCACCACAAGCCAATGAAAAACTGCTGAGGGGTGTTTGTAAAACAGTGGGAGGAACTAGGGCTTTGGAACCTGCCAGGCCCTCATTCCCTCATTCCCTCACTCATTCATTCATTCATATTTTTTTCCAGGCACCAATTTAAATGCCAGTTCCAACTCTTAGTGGCCGTGTGACACAACATAAGCTCCTTAACCTCTCAGAGCTCAGTGTCACAGAATTATTGAGAGATAATATAGGGTCCTCCTTTGGCTGGGATATCTCTAGTTGACAGAGTTAGACCTCTTGTTGGGGGAGCAACGGGCTGAGGCTTGGGTGTCACATGTGTTCTTGGTGAGGGAGGACCGAAGGCACCAACACCCCAGAGCCTCTGCCCCTGCCAGCCTCTGAGAGCCGGTTCCCTGCAGTGGAGCTGGCCAGGGCTTCCTTGGGAAGCAGGGTCGTGCCCACAGCACAGCTCGTGGGCTTTGGGCTCCAAGCCCTGCATTCCCATGCCAATATAATACTTCAGCAGCTGTGGGTCCCGGGGCATGTCCCTTAAACCCTCAGCTACTTCCTCATCTGAAGTGCAAGGAGTGTGACGCCCCCTCGTGGGGCGAGGCGGGAAGCAGGAGAGCCCAGCATGGTTCCAGGCACCCTGGGCTAGAGAGAAGCCAGGTGCGCTCTGCAGCTACTCAGCCCTGCTCCCTGCCCCACACCACACATCCATTGTGTGCTCCAGGAGACCCTGCCTACCTGGCCCAGCACCTCTGGGACTCAGAGCACCCCCACCTGACACAGGGCAGGCAGGACACAGCCAGCCCCACAAATAACTGCGTGCTTCTATTCAGTGGTGGGCATGCACAGCACCCTCCTGGAAGCCACACCCCGCACAGGTGCTCTGGGCAGCCCTTCCTTGAAGGGCCTTCCAGAATCACTGACCAATTGTCCCAGGAGGGACTGGGACCTCTGTGACATCAGCAGCACCCAAGGAGCCTCACCCAGATTCCCAAGCCTTCTGGCCCCACCCTAGTTCCCAGGAGACTGGCAGAAGCTGCCCAGGGATGGGTCCCAGAGGCCCATCTCCCCCTCCTGACCCGCCCACCACAACTCAGGGAGGGGCCACTGCTCACAGCAGACAATAGGGTGGCTTTGTCCCTGGCCCAGTCTGTGGTTCTCTCTCCCAACCAACCAGCCTGGCAGGAGACATGACACATTAGGGGCTTGGTGTGTTGTGTGAGAGGGACAGACAGGCCATCAGGAGTGGTCAGCCTCAACCTCAGGATCTTCGTCAGCACTCACCCTTGGTGAAGAGACACAGAAGTCACCATGTGTCATCTGCCAGATACCCCAATGTCCACACGGACCAGGGGTATTTATTTCATCAAGTGGAGGCCACTGCTTAGTAAGACAGCAGATTGTGGGGGCACCACTTACCGACTGCACAGTAACAAGAATCTCAAATTAGAAACATACTCGGGTGATAAGTTGGTGTAAGGTCTCCAAGGCACTAGGGCTCCTAACCCAAACTCTAATAAAGCAAATAGTTTCTGCATGTAAATAATCACCCCAGGAGGCTGAGAGGCATTGAGTTTCTCAGAGTAGGTAGGGTGGGGCTCAGTTTCCCCATCAGTGACTTTAGAAAAAAGGTGGAGGGGAGTGACGTGCATAGGCACTACGGTCTGGGGTCAGCACACTGGCGGCTCAGGTCCATCAGCCAACCCTTCAGGTAACAGAGATAGGACAGGTGTAAGGACGGCGAGGTGATCACCTTTCCCGTTCCAGGGCCAGAGGTTGAATCAGGGCTGCGAGAGGCAGTGCAGAGAGGGGACCCTCTGGGTCACTCAGCAGGGCTAGAAGCCCAGCATCCTGCCTCTCTGTTTTGCCAGAGTCCAAACACCATGTCTCAGATGGTCAGATGACCCCAAGACAAGGCCCTTCTCTCACCTTTGCTAGTGTGTCCACCACGCTCACCAGCGGCTGCTTTGCAGGATATTTGGCCATGTCCCATTCAAAGTGGGTCACAAAGGATGTTAAGTCAACTGGAAGAACACAAACACATTTCAACACATGAGTGGACCTCCCCACATCTCCTAACACCGAGACTGCTAAATCCCAAGCTAAGCGTCACCACTTACACCAAGGAGGCAATTAGTGAAAAACCTGGCGGGCAGGCTCAGGGCTCTGGGAAAACCAACATTCCCCGGGGCAGAGAGTTTTGAGCCAGCTGATGGCCACCAGCCAGAACCCGAAACCCCTCTGAAGAGTACAGCAGCAGACGTACAGCATCACACGCACTCCTGCATCCACTCTACTCCTGGAGGCTGCCCCAGAGACCTGCCGGTTGGGAGGGCTGTTTTCCCAAAAGGTGGGAGCAGTCCAGGGACATCCTGAGCAGGCACCGGGCTAATTCTCTGCCTTCTCCAGTTGCTTGGGCACACTCCTCTTGTAGTGGATTATGTCCCCCCAAAACTCACTGAAGCTTGAATTGTGTATTATGTATTAGAAATAGCCCCCACTGTGACTGTTAAGAGGGTGGGAAATCCTACTATGGTAATCGAAAGGTGAAGCCTTGAAGAGGTGATTAGATTGCAGGATCGTGCTGTAGTGAATGGATTAAAAACGGTGGTCAGGGGCATGGTTCTGAGGACTTTAAAAGAAGGGGAGAGTCTGTCTCTCTCTGTCTGCTTCTACCATCTTGTAATGTGAGACCCCTGGGTCACTGTTGCCACCACCAGATGGACTATGGTCTTCCCAGCCTCAGAAACTGTAAGCAATAAATTTCATTTTCTTTATTACCCAGTTCCACGTAGTTTGTTATAAGCAACAAAAATGGACTAATACACCCCTGCTGGGTTGTGGTTGTTGCAAGGTACCCCAAAAGCATGCCAAAGAGCATCAAGACAACCCCTGAAAAATCACACAGCCCCCTGCCTGGCCGGTCGTGGCTGCCACCTGCCTCCTGAGCCAAATACCAGACGAGGCTCTTTCAAACTACATGGACTATTTCACAGAAGGCATTTTAAACACTAGCAGAATAGAGATGGCCGGTTAGCCCAGCTGCTTAGAGCATGGCATTACTAACACTAAGGTCTAAGGGTTCAGATCCCATACTGACCAGCCACCAAAAATAATAATAATAATAATAGCATTAGCAAAATTCTGGAGTTTGTGGCTGTGGTTTTTACCATCTGGTATGGATGTGCACTTTTCAGTGTGTGCCCTTTCTATAAAAGCCTGTACTGAATAAAATGCATCAGTGTTGTTACAAATTTTCTTTTTTCCTTTTCTTTCTTCAAAAACAAACAAAAGCCAGCTGTCCTCAGGTGGTAACCAGCTGTGGGGTGCAAGAGAGAGCCTTGGAGCTGAGGTCAGACAGAAGTGACACCAAATGAACCTCAGCTGACTCAGAGCCCTGAGCTTGGGCAAGCAAAGAATTAAATCAGTTTCCTCACCCGAGAAGTGGGGGTGCCCACACACCTCCTGAGTGCCGACTGTCTCAGATCTGTGCCACATACATTTGAAGGGTCTCACTAGGAGCCAGCTGCTGGCCCTGGCCCTGGTACATTATCTAATACTTCTACTCTGTGGCAAAGCAGAAAACCCAGCAGATGCCTCCGTGCTACGCTGACCCCTGGAATCCCTCCAGCCCTCGCGAGATGGCCCTCCCATGCTGGACTCTCCAGCCCAGGTCCTGTGCGTGCCTGCACCTCTCCATATATCCTCTCTCAGGAAGAGGGACATCACTGCTCATCTTCACTGATCCCAGCTCTCTTGTCTGCTGGGGGACAGAACAGACACCCTCCTGCCATTGAACTTCAAGGTGCTCACAGTTTACTGGGGAGACCACTAGGCAAACAACACACCCCCACGAGCTGGTGAGCATGTGACACAGTCATCCCTTAATATCCGTGGGGGTTGCGCTCCGGGACCCCCTCCGATACCAAAACCCTTACTGGGGAGACCACTAGGCAAACAACACACCCCCACGAGCTGGTGAGCATGTGACACAGTCGTCCCTTAATATCCGTGGGGGATGCGCTCCGGGACCCCCTCAGATACCAAAACCCCTGCTTTTGGGAACAGGTGATATCTATCCCATGCCTACCCACCAGTTTCTCCTCTAGAAACTTCCCAATGACTGTCATCATTTTCTGAGGTTCAGTAGTCCCAGTAAAAGCACCTCTACTTTTTACTAGGCCTCTGGTCTGCAGAGATGAAGGCAGGGAGCTGCCCTTTTTCGTGGAACTTCTGTGTCCTTTGCATTTTATGTTTGAAGAAAACCACTGTGAAAATGCTTCATCTCTTTTTTGAAAAAGCCTACACGAGGAGGCTGTCCATTCAGTGACAGGGTTGGGAAGATTTGCCCCCACGCATCTCCTCTGCTTAATACTTATAATGCCTAACATAATGTAAATGCTATATAAATGGTTGTTACACTGTATAGTTTACGGAATAATGACAATTAAAAAAAAAAGTCTGAGGGCCAGCCCGTGGCTCACTTGGGAGAGTGTGGCGCTGATAACTGAGGGTTGCGATCCGTTGCCGGACACGGAAAAAGACAAAAAAAAAAAAAAATAAATAAAATAAAAATAAAAATAAAAAAAAAATTTTAAAAGAGTCTGTACACGTTCAATAAAGATGCAATTTTCCCCCCAATATTTTCGATCTGTGGGTGGTTGAATCCACGGGAATGGAGCCCACAGATAGGGAGGGGAGGGCCGGCCACACAGAGGGCGTTGGGGAGGATGAAGAGTTAACACTGACTGATCCTGGGGGACTGAAGAGTTAACACTGACTGATCACAGGATGGCCTCGTGGGGACACGAGTTCACGCGGAGGTTGAAGGAAGAGACCATGTGGCTGCTGAAGGAGGACTCCAGGTGCGTATGCTCATGGCAAAGCCGATGGGGAGAGGGGTGTGACAGAGGCTGAACAGGAGGGGCAAGGGCTGGTCAGACGGCTGGGGTGTCTGCACTTTATCCTGTGCCAATGACACTTACTCAGCCCCTATTACATGTCTGGGAATGGACATAGATCACTCCAACTTGGACAGCAGCACCGAGCAAGGTCACCCAGCAAGCCTCAGGAGGCTGTGTCACCAGCCAGTCACGGAGGAGCAGGCCAGGGCCCTGGCACCCTGTGAGAGATCCCTCTGCAGCTGGTGGAGCGAGGGATGCTCACCAGGCCGGCCAGCCCCAGAGGCAGCGGCAGGGATGGGCAGAGGGCGGAGGAGATGAATTTAGCTTGGGATAAGCATATGGAAACGAAGTGGGACCCAGAGGATGGAGCTGGTCTGGTGGCAGAACTGTCGGCATGTAAGAGGTAGGAAATGCCTTGAAATAATAAGAAAGCCAATGACAACCATTAAAGTAGCTGACATTCACTGTTTGCTTACCTTGGGCTAGGACACATGAATTATTTCCTTTAATTTACTCTCCAACCCTATTAAGTACTATTATTATTTCCATTTCACAGATGAGGAAACTCTGACACAGGGTAAGTTATGCAAACCCCCATCGTAAAATTAGCCAATGCACCTGACACACCTAACACTCTGCCTGGCACGCAGAGGAACCACAGCACTTTTCCCGGCCATGTCCACCACCAGGGTCCAGCTATGCTGCAGGTGGAAAAGGGAAGCCACTCCTAGGCCATCCCCTTCACAAGGACCATACTCAGACATGTTCTAGATTACCCCGACTTGGAAGAGGTCCTTGGGAGAATTCATGTTACACATTTATAACACTCACGTTGGAATTAACACAGCAAGTCTTGGCCTGTTGACAGGAGTACCTCTGAAGCACTGAGGGTGGGGCCCTGATCCAATAGCTTTCATATCCTTATGAGAGGGGACATCAGAGAGGCTCAGTCTTGCTCGCTCTCTCCACACACATGCACCAAGAAAAGGCCGTGTGAAGACACAGCAAGAAGGCGGCCGTCTACAAGCCAGGCAGAGAGCCCTCCTCAGAAAATGATTGGCTGGAACCCTGATCTTGGCCTTCCAGCCTCCAGAACTGTGGGAAAATCAACATCTATTGTGCAAGCCCCCAGTGTGTGGTGCTCTGTGGTGGGAGCTCAAGCAGACTAAGTCAGATTTTGGTGTTAGTTTTGGTATTAATACTGGTTCTGGTAATGCCACACCACAATGGGGAAATGACTTCATAGCAAGGATCAGGCCTGGGGAGGAACTGAGTGAGCCCAGCTGGATGATAGCAGGGACAGGAAGGACTCCTCCCATGGCAGGAATGGCAACTGATCCCGCTCACTGAGCCCCACCAGCGAGTGGACGGGCACTGGGCAAGTGTAAACCTCCCGCAATGAGCCCAGGCCCTTCCCTCAGCTGGGAACTGGCCTCAAAGCTGCCGAGCACAGGAGACGTGAGAGTGGATGTGGACTTTGGGATGCATCTCTGCTCCTCCTTCCCCGTCACCTCCAACACCATGTCACGCTCACTCCCCACTCCCTTCTCACTGCTGCTTTTGTCCCTCAACACGCAGGACGCAGGACAGGTGGGAGCAACTCCTTCCCAAAGCGGCCCTGTCTGGACCTCTCCCTGCTGATGATGCCATGTGGCCTCCCCTGAGCCTCTTGCTCCCTCAGGCTCCTAGAAGACAGAGTCCATGACTCCCTTGTCTCTGTGTCCCAGAACATGTCACAGCACCTGTCACAGCACTCTGCACACAGCAAGCTCTCCATCGACATGCTCAGAACATTGACAGAAATCCTCCTAATTACCACGGCTGTTGTATTAACTCACACTCTCTAGATGCATTTCAGACCAAACTCGAGTCTCCACACATTTTCCCCAAAGCCAAGCCCTTCGTGGCCTTCAGACCACAGAGGGTGAGCTCCTCCTCCCCACTGGAACAGCCCTACGGTTCCTGCAACACTCAGGCCATCTCCTGTGGCTCCGTTTCTATTTCACCGCAGGGCATATGCATTGCGCATCTGTCCCCCCACTAGGCTGAACTCTTAGAGGGCAAAGGCTGTGCTTCTGTGTGGTGTCAATCATCTTCACATCCCCGGCACCAACAAGTGCTTGCTACAGATGATCAAAAATTCAAGAAGTCATTAGACAAGGACCTCCCTACAGGAGGCTGGAGAGCCCCTGGGTGTGTGACGGTGACCTCCTCCTCTCGTCTCCTCTCCCATGTCCTGAGCTCTGGCTCCAGCTCCGGACATTGACCCTTGCCCTGGGTCACGCATCCAAGGGCCCTTTTCCTGTCCCCGCACATTGCCCTTGTTGAGAACCTCATTGCAGGATGGCCCTCTGCCATCCCTCCGGCCTCCCTGCACCTCCAGCACTGCGGCTTTCACTCCACTCCTCGGGAAAGGACAGGCCTTGCCTTCTTCACCTGGTCCTGGGAGGGAGCCATTTGGGACCTGGACAGAGGGCCTGTGAGGTCAGACCATGACCCAGGCAGGCTAGCTCCATACCAAGACACGCTGTCCACAGGCCAACACCTCTTAAGCAACAATGGTCTCATCTGATAACCAAACAAAGCCTTCCCAGCAGGGAGCAGAGCGAAGGAAGGACTGTGACCCGTGAGCAGACGTGCCCTCAGGTGCTTCTGCCTTCTGTGGACACGCCAGGGCCCAGGCCAGACAATGCGTGTTTGCTCAGCTTCTGCTGCATTTGGACCTGTCTGTGCCCTTCCATGCTCAGCTCAGCTGGAGGCAAAGAACAAACAAAAGCAAAAAGTGCCCAAGCAAAGCTAAGAGCCTATGAGGCGCTTATTAGTACATCCATTTACAGGTAGCAGAAGTAAGGCCCAGAGAGGTGACTGGCCAAGGTCCCGAAGCACAGTAAGCAGCAGGACCAGCTGCTGGCCCTTCCTCACCCACTCCCCAACACTGCCCTAGATTCCCCTGCAGAAAACAGGATGAAAATCCCACCTGCCAGGGCAACAGTGAGTTCTTCTAGTTAACTCTGTCAATCACTAGTTCATGGGTGCACTGCAGAAGAAAAAGATTTCCTCGTTTAGATAATATTGGGAAAGCCCAAGTCAAACTAAGTTTAAAAAGGTCCCTTGGGGGGGCTGGCCAGCTAGCTTAGTTAGTTAGAGCATGGTGTTGTAACACCAAGGTCAAGGGTTCAGTACCCCACACCGGCAAGCCACCAAAAAAAATAAATAAATAAATAGAAAGATCGCTTGACAGCAGGACTTTTCAGAGCCTTTAATAGGCTAATGAGCATTGTGAAGGTCCCCAAGCTACCATGGGCCTGGGGAAAGAACACGCTTTGGAAGAACCTTCCACAGGGCAGGTGGAAAGAACACGCTTTGGAAACTCTAGTAATGGAAGTTGCTGTGACTCAACTTGCAGGAGGCCTAGAGATAATGAAACATACTAAACAAACAAAGAAAGCTGAATCTCCTCCTCCTGAGAAGAGGAGCAGCTGTCTCCTAGAGTTGGTGCCATGTGGACTGGGCACGGATACTACATAATAATATCATCTCGTTTTAAGTAACATTAATTTTGAGTAAAATGTATACTCAAA